CTGGCACTTTGAATGCGATATGGGTTCCAAAATACATGAAGTTGAATTACACCCCTAACGTTAACTGACACAAGAAATCTATGCCACAAGCCCATGAGGATGAAAAGAAGTGGAACACTTATGAGATTATCATATTTCAAACAGCTTAATCCTTCCCGATAATTGACCCCATATGAGATAACTAAAGATACGATAACTTTCCTTCCAAATCGATATGCTCATGATATGTGCAAAAATCTAAAGGCATCTAATCTTAACCTTTCACGAGTGAAACCACATGGCTAGGACATCTTAATATTGGGATGAAATCATGTATTGGTTAGAGGGGTTCTAATGGTTAACATGATGCTCCAAGGAGAAAGACAACTAGAAGTCTTATCCACCCAAGGAAGTGGAATGCCAAGGATAGCAGAACTCCCCGCAGATGACAATGACATAGTCAATGATTCTAGAAGTCGAGTGTGTAAAGACAACCAAACCCATGAGACAGTATACAATAATCATGGAAGGTTTGTAGATGTTCATGATGAGTTCTCCATAGATTTTGACTTGAGAAGTACCCAGATGCTAATGAAAGACAGGAAAACATTAGAAGTAGGCGTTGTTCTATGATAACCCCCAATTATGTGTTTTGTCTTGCCGGAGAGCCTATTAAGGGTTCTTATGGGAAATGAAGTGTTATAATGACACATATAAGGATATGTTCTCTCATAGTTATTGAACAAGTGTTTGGAAACTAGTACAATGAATTCACTAACTAAGAAACACAATTAACACATGTTGTGGAGGTATAAAGAGAAAATAAACATTTGTTATGAGCTAGACACGCTTCTGCTATACTAACTCCCAAGCTGCAATATAAGACCACATCATGGGCGACCACAATACTAGGAACAAAGTGAGCTACTTACTACGGGATATCCCAAGTGGACATGAAAGTTATTCTAAGATGGAGACACAGGATCTTCCTATGACGGAGATGTGAGGATCTCAATTTTCAGAGAGACTTTATGCACACGGTGACCATTTCGATTGACATGCACTCATATGATAGGTGCTGATGTATGCTCTCATGTTACTAGATGGTGAGAAGGTTTCGTGATGATACTCAAAAGAGAGTAGAGTGATTGTTCAGATCATAGAAGCCATATACACCAGTGAGTAAAAGAGTGACTCGAGAAGTATCACAACACTGGGATGTTTTACATGGAACTCGACACCATATAGGTAAACTTTATGATGGTGCATGCATAGGCACAAAAGAGTAGATGTTGTCCATTTAATTAAAAATATCCTGTAAGAAATGTATCAGGTATAGTCCCTTGTTGAGAATTTAGGAAAGAAAGTGGGAAGTATTAATCCTTGAGTTATAACTCTATTCAAGGACATAATTTCCACAAGAGGATGTAAATAAGAGAACTTGTATTAAAGTGGATTCACGAATAATACGTCTCCTTCAAGGAGTAGGTACACACAAGTTTTTGTGACTCACATCTTATTAAGACTATGTTTATGAGAACTCTTCAATATGGATGTACATATACAATGAGTAGAAATTTTAATTCGACTTACTTGGTGACTTTAGGTTGATAGGGCAATAACTTAATCGATACCCCTCGACTCCACATCCCTAATGTACGTGGTAACATACTGCTATACTACATGATCTGGTGGTGCAGAGACATTAATAGGAACAAGGGTACTCCCCTTAGCAACAAGTTCTACCAATCCCTCCATGGCTCGATACATTCTTCTAACAAACTCTTGGGCAATCTCCCTCAGATTCAATGGTGGGGTCATTCCCTCCTTACTGCTTCAAACTCATGGATTATAGTTTCAAGATTACTCATCTTGAGAGTAAGACATAGTGAGAAAATTAGCTCCCTATCTTGGGTTCTACTGCATGATCTGGAGTATCAAAGAAGGGTGAAATTCCTAAATGTCCAAATAGCCTCCAACTTATAGATGTGGTTGACAACACACCGATAAGAAGGACTCTACTAGACACAGATCTGAGACATCCTAGGACATTTTTAAACCATAGGCTCTGATACCAAGTTTGTCACGCCTAAAAAAATGAGGAGCGCGACCGACGCTCAACCGAGTAAACCCGACTGAGCAAGCCTGTTAGGTTTCATTCTACCCAAACTAATTCATGAATAAAGAGAAGATGAACTCCATAAATTATACTTTTGTAAATATTTCATTAACAACTTCCATTTTGTTTTCATTATCCATTTCAACCATAATATCCAAAATATGACATTTTTATAGATATGAAGGAAAACATATTTGCGGAATACCAATATTTCTAATTTAATTTCCAATACCAAACACCACCCACAACCTGTCTACGGAGCCTCTAAATACAACTGAAGAGTAATGTGGAAATGCCGGCAACAAGGCTCCGGCTATACCTCAAAATACAAAGTACATGATAAACAACGGTACATGACCCCGAAATGAAGTGGGGCTCACCAAGTTAGCTGAAAGGAAGATGCGTCACTAGCTGCGACCATCACTGCCTGCTATGGAACTACCTACGTCCATTTAAAGATGTAGCGCCCCCGGCAAAAGGGATGTTAGTGCCGTCGAATAGCAGTAGTATGTATAACTAAACACCATCTCATTAGAAAGAACAATCATACAAGAACAAAGAAATCAAAAGGATTCAACAAAAGCTTTAAACAATCACCACGTTATCAAATAAAAGAAATCACATAGCTTTCACATATTTTTCATAGCTTTCGGTTGGGACATTTCATACTATTTCACCATCATTCACAAAACCACTGCCTTTTTTTCCGAAGTCCGATCTCGGCCTGATCGGCTAAGCCATCTCATTTGAGACGTATACCTCAATCACAATTTCATTTTCACTTTCCGGTTTCAATATCAGCATAATACCACCATGTGTGCGGCATGACGTCTGATCATAACCCGATCGGCTAAGCCATCTTACCAAGACGTTTCCATTTTTCCATCAATCATCTCCTTTCAAGTTTATATCACACATATCAATTCATCGGCACTTGGGGCCACAATTATCACATCATACTTGGCACTAGAACATATTTCATAATTCGAGCTCTTTTCCTCCACATTTCACATCATTATCAATTTCAACAACAAGCCATTCAATCCAAGATGTCAAGTACACATGAGAGGAAATCATGAATCATGGGCATATACAATATTTCAGAAATCATACACCTCAAGTTCATTAGCAATGGAACTTTAAACACAAAGGATTCTTCCAAAAAGGAGGGGACACACCAAACCATAATATAAACACACATCAAAGTCATAAACAAGCAATTACACCAATTATTCTTGAATTACTCTATTCCAATCATGCCAATATACAATTTCAACATAGAAGTATGTAACAACTCGGATCACATTGAATGTACTTATAAGGCAAAACATTATCTCGAACAACCACTTATAGGCATAAATTGTGTACAAAGTCTTTAGGGCACTTTATTATTGAATTCATTTATGGAAAGTAGAGTCAAAGCTCATTTCATAATCTGTTTCATATTTTCTCATGTCATAGGCATCACTAGGCACAATTATAACTCAAGTTCTCGGCACGTTGTCCACACTCTATTTCCCAATTTCATTTGATTTATTTCAAACATCTTTATACATAAAGGATTTCACATAGTTTGGCATAACAATCTCAATTTAAACTTGACTTGGAATCTAGGCATTTTAGCACATAGTTCACATATCCTCAATTACCAAGAATAGCGTATTGAACACATTGAGATACACCTTTCACATATGTTCTTGCAACACCAATTCCTTTGAAATAAAAAGTACTACATCAATCAAATTTCGGACTACAATATTTGCATGGACACCATGGGAGCTCAATTTCTAAGAAGAGGGGATTTTAGCCATACATACCTTGTTTAAGCTTTCCTTAAGTTTCTACGATCCGCCAACACCTCTAGCAATAACAATCTATAAGGAGATAGCGGGAATCGATTAATAATTAGGAAGATTACCCATAGTGTACCTCTCTTAGGAATTTCATCAAACACCTAACATGTGAAGTAGTCTACAAGGTCTGAAAATGGAAATTCCTTCTTCCCTCAACCAATTTTAACAGGAACTACCCAAATTAGTTCTTTAATATTACATACTACAACTTAGTCCCACATGCATGACCTATTTCTAATCCCAACAACATATTTGAACCCTTAACCTCTTGCATGAAATCTTGGAAGAAGGACTTACCCGGATGGATGACAATCAAATGGTTATCTTCCTTGATTCTTGAAAACTTGAGCAGGATTTGGGTTATTGCGAAGCTAGGCTCCTTTTTTCTCTCTCTATATGCTCTCAACTCTCTTTAAAATCAGTAGAAAAATGACCCCAAATGAAGTCCCTACACCTATTTATCAAAATGGGGTCAGGTTATAAAAATAGGAAAAAAAGCCTCCGAAATCGGGTCTGCGATCGTATAATGGACCGTAAAATAGGAATGTGGGTCACAAAATGCATTGCGAAATTGGTGCCCAGAAATGGTCTACACTGGACAGGTCTTCGACCATTTTGCGGTCGCATAAGCACTTTTGCGATCGCAGAGTTGGCCGCAGAATGGGATTTTGCTAGCTTTTGGTAATTTGATCATAACTTTGTGTAGGAATGTCCAAATAATGAACAATTTGAAGTGTTAGAAACTAGACTCTAAGATCGTTCATTTGATAGGTTTTTCATCACATAAAACGTTATATATATATATTTAGATATGCTCGTCCAAATTGGGGACTTGTGCAAACTCATTTGGAATTTTAGCGCATTATGAAATTTTCTAACTTGACTTAGACTTTGGCCTCCCATTAGAACCCACATTACTTATTATATGACTTATACACTTATTTACCAAATCCAATTGATGCCCATAATGTTAATAGCACATAAAATATTATGACTAGCCTACATGGCACCACAAAATCCTAAATTACTTAGCAAAATTTTCTAGGGCCTTACAGAAAGAAACTTGTATTCCTATCTCCTTCAGCAAACCAAGTCATCCCAGCTTTTTGCTTCCAATACTTCTCCTCAATACTTAAGTATTTCTTCAATTCAGATTGAGCCTTTTGAAGCACAATCCTGTTCTCAATTGTAGGCTCTTCTTCAAACAACATCTCTTTCACCCTAACAATGTCTTCCAAAATAGCCAACTGCTTGAAGATATCACCAAATGTTTCTCTGCTCCATTTTGATAGTGTTCCCTTCACCCTCTTGAGCTTCTACTTGAACATAAAAAACGGATCCCCTATGAAATCAACTTCCCAATTCTGCCTCACCATATCCATAAATGTAGCATGTTTAGTCCAAAAGTTCAAGAACCTGAAAGGCTTGACAAAATTGGTGGTTTGCTCCCCACATGTCATTAACAATGGTGCATGATCTGATCCAGTTCTGATTAAATGTTCAACTTCAATAGTTGGCAACATGTTCTGAAATGGTAAATTCACAAAGATCCTATCCAATCTTTTGAATATACATGTAACATTGGATCTCCCATTCCATCATGTAAATGGACTTCCTTTGTATCCTTGCTCAAACAAACCACAAGAGTTTACACAAAATGCAAAATCCTTATATTCAGGCGGGTGTACTGGTAGTCTTCCTACTTTCTCATCTTCATGTAATATCACATTGAAATCCCCTCCTAACAACCATGGCAATTTCATATCACTTGCTAAGTAATACAAGTGATCCCACAATTCAAACCTCTCCATTGCTGAACATCTTGCATAAACAAATGTCATAATCATGTGCTGCCCCAGGTCATGGTGAAGCACTCTCACAATCACTTGTTGCTCAGTATCCTCCACTAATTCCCATTCCACCACTGCATCAAAGAACAATCATATTTGCCCATTGATATTTGCATAAGCTGTCTCCATACTCAACCTTTTTCTATATCTATTAATGAGTCTCTTCTTTTGAAAAGGTTCCATCAATGCAACTACACAAAAGTTATGCTCCCTATTCATGTTTATCACCCTAGGAAAGGCCTGATGTGTATTCACAAACCTTATGTTCCATATTAATGTTTTGATCATCATTTAGATAGAGAAACTGCCCTCCTAGGCATAATTCTTGAAGGTTGTTGTGGCTCTTTATTCTGATTCTTCTTTGTTTTCTTACCTCTTTTAGCACTAGATGTAGGTGATAGATCGCCATCCCTATCCATCTGTTTGAAGTTTTCTGCTGTTGATTCATCATCTCTCTCATCCTCCATAGGATTTTGTCTCATTAAGTCTTCATCAATTGGTGCCACATTGTGAGTAACTAAATCATGTAAATGTTGTAGTGGAGTCTTCAATGGAACATTAAGATACATCTGCATAATTTAATTAGTGCCATATTCCATAGGCACTTCCTCTATTTCCCCAGATTCTCTCGGAACAATCGCCTGCTCATTATTCTTTTCATTGCTATTCTCTAATCCTACTGTATCATCCCTAACCTTTACATTATCATCAAGTTTATTCTCCAATGCATACACCAGAACATCATCTACATAGGGCAAAATCTTACCAGTTGCACTAAGGATAGGGTTTACTATCGATGCTTCATCAGGTGACCCTGACGCCAGGCTTGGCGTCGCCAACCTAACGCCTTGGGAGCCTGGCTTTAGGCCTGGCATCGCCAGCCTATCGCCAGGTGGGTTGTTATCCCTCACTTTGTCTCCTGTTGTCTTTGTCATACCTAGTTGATCATCCTCCACCTCAATTTCACAACTCCCTACAACCTTTGTTGAGTTTATCTCATCAAGGTTCTCAAGCTGCCCAGAATCTGCAAATGTTTGAGACGGAATTTCTTGACATGATTGGTTTGTAGTCCCATTGAGTTGCCTTAGCTCCTCTTTGATAGTTCCAAACCTTCTATGAACCCAGTCGATTGTGGATTCCATATTAGCCTTTTAATTAGAACTTTGATCACTAGGAACAATAGGACTAGCCTTAGATAAGTTCCTATTATGCTGATCTTCCAACACTTTCTCAACGGTTTCCTTCTTTACACGCTTAAGTTCTTGTTGATTACCTTCTCCCACTGGTTTAGTATTAGCATCCTTCCCAACCCTAACCCCAAAAGCCTTAGGATTAGGGCTTGTCACTCCGGTATTGCCTTCTTTTTCCTTCTCATGGCCCTTCTTGGATTGCTTTTCCCCATGTTCCTTCTTCTTACCATTGCTATTATCCTCACCTTTGCCTTCAGTAATTTGTAGAGTAGGTTGATGAACTTCCTCAACCTCTAGTGCATTAAACTTGTTCTTGGTTGCTGCTTCCTCAAGTTTGGCCTTCCCTTTACTCTTGTCAGCTTCCTTACCTTGTTTGTTATCAACAATGTGACCCGATTATCCCTTTGGTATTTGTTCTTCTTTGCTTGTATCCATTCCTACTTGGCATGATTAGTAGTAGGCTTATCAACCACCTTTCCACTTGACAGAAACTTTGTTGAATTTGCAGATGTACCAATTGCTTCAGTGCTCACCATAACTGTCTTCTCCTTGCCTTGATCCTCAACATCTTCATCAAATCTGTTGTGTAATTCACGATGAATTACCCAGCATTCTGCCTCACTATGCCCTTGTTTCTTGCAAGGCTTGCAATATTTAGGCATATAATCATACTTAATCCTAATCCATTTAAACTCTTCTGGCCCAGATTCATCAGCTTCTTCAATAATCTTAATACGTTTAGGGAAATTAGCTAGAAAATTCACTTCCACCTTTACCTTAGTACAATTAGGTCTAGTCCCATTTTGAGTTTCTAGGTCTATATGTAATGGATTACCAACTGCACGAGCTAATGAAAATATACATTCCTTACCAAAGAAATGTCACGCCCCAACCTTGGGAGGCGTGGCTGGTACCCGGTGCCACACTGGCCTAAGCGAACTACTCTGTACCTCATTTATTCCTTTTGTAACTATCATAGGCCAACATGGCTACAACTCATAATGTACAACTATCAGTGAGAAAATACTGTATCATTGAACCATTTTTCTTAAAAGATGAATACATTTGGGTTGTCAAGGCCGTTGACATTCTATACAAAATGAACCTCTGTCTACAAAGCCTCTAAGATTATTTGACATCAAATGGGACAGGGTACCGGCCTACTCATAAGTCTGTAGAAAGCTTCTAACACGATGATTCATAGATTCGGCTGCACTCCGAATGAGATGGAGTCTTACCGATCCTTCGCTGAATCCAAACTCGTCTTATATGATAGCTCGTCAAACTGACTATCTATACCTGCAGGCATGAATGCAGCATCCCCAACAAAAGGACGTTAGTAAGAATAATGTATCGAGTATGTAAGGCATGTACTGAAAGCTGAAACTGAACTGATAATATAATAAGTGAAAGCAACTGGAAGTCAAAGATAATGTGTAGATATGCTTACCTGCTGATACTGACTCAACTCTCTCAATATACTAAGTAAAATAGTTGTTCGGCCCTATAAGGCTCGGTATATATATATATATAACTGTTTTGCCGTAGTAGGCTCGCTCATAGGTGCTCAGCCATACTAGGCTCTCTTTCTCGACCAACTGGGCTCGCTCATAAGCGCTCAACCACAGTAGGATCGGTATATAACTTACCATCTGATCAGAGGTTGCCCAACAGGGGCCTGCCCATCGATTATAGCTCGATGGTAATGAAAATACTTTAATACTGTATATATAAACTCTCTGCTCTATTGACTGGAATAATGAAATACTCAAATGAATATGAAGCCCCGATAAAGGGAATATTATAACTTGCGAGACTCGCAAAATATACGTAAATTCTGAGATATGAATTTTTCTTTATGCTCCATTATAAAACTTTTATAATGACAAGATCATGCCAGAATGAAGGAAGAGCTTAGCCTTAACATACCTTTAGTGATGATTTTATCGAAGGTGATTAACTTGGCCTTCTTCACACGACACCAACTACAAAAGCAGCTACTCATTGATGGGATGCTTGCCTACTTGATAATTTACACCTCAACCCATGTCTATCCTACTAACCTTGGATAAAGTTGATTGTTTGTAGCCAGGGATGGGAAGAAGTTATTAGATTTTTATGGTTAGGGCATGCTAGGAGAGGGTCATTTTTAAAACAATCAAGTCTTGGGACAATGCTAAGAGAGAATGACATACCCACCCATCTCTTTTCCTAAATTTTGTGAGACTAGATAATTAAGTCTACCTCTTTTGACATATCTTCCATTATCATAAATCACTATGCCGCATTTATAACTTTCTTTTTCCAATAGGTACTAGAATCATATGACTTGACTAATACTGTAAGCAAAGATTTTAACGTAAAGTTTCTCTATCATTCAAGTTTGAGTACTTGAGAAGATAAAAGAGTTACTATATAGTAATTTCTAGATTGGTTGCCTACTTCTCTAAGAAAAGCCATGTCTTGGAGCCGACGAAGGAATAAATAAAGAATATGTCAATATGAGGTGGTATTATTTGCACAAAAAAATGTCTTAATAAAGAAAGGAGGAGGAGAACGAGCATAACGTACAACCGACTTTTAAACTATGATTTTTGAAAAATTTGCCACCTTGCACATCTTAATTTAAGAGTCATATAATCTGTATTGCATGGCTTCCACGTGGGATGGGCTAAAATCTTATCCTATAGTTAATTAATTAATTAGGTGATGTCCCGCTATCCGGTAATTAACCAATTACCCGAATAATTAAGAATTATATCAAGTTACTTAAAATTTTACTATATTTTAATACACTTTACGTACCCTACTATCATGGTCATGTAGTACTATATAAAATAAATATATTATTATTTCATTAAAATATCCATGTAAAAATACATATATTTTCTCAATATTCCTTTAGGATTAACTTTATCAATTGCATATTATTCTGAGACCCATGAACAGAAGATATAATAATATGTAACATAGGGATTCAAGAACATAAAGACCCATAGTATTTCTATGAATAGAGTCGTTTATGAAAGCTGTGCATTTGCTCGTTTTATTGAAATGTTGCGCCATTACGACTTTAAATACACCATTTTAACACGGTCTATACTTTGTAGATATGCATGGGTTTGTTTTTGGTTAGCTTCCATAGCAACACTAAGAAAATTAATACATTATTTTTTATTAACCATCTCTATCTTTTCTTTTTAGTATTAGAATTACATCTCAAGAAAGTTATCTAAGATTAGGAATGGCGAAAAATACTAATATTGTTCCACTAGATCATCGAATTGCACTACCTGATCAAAATGCTCTAGGAGAAGCTACAAAAGATGAGGTATATCTCCTTCTATACACGTATTTGTCGAGAGTAGTAATATTAATAACTATGTATAATCATATTTTTTCAAACAATTTTATAAAAAACGTTCCACTCAAAATACCATATCAAATTTATATAATGGTATCAATGTTATTAAACTTACGAGGTCTTAATCCTTTCGAGCTCATATGGATTACCACGAATCGTCCTAATATTAAAGCATGGAATGTAACAAGAAATTTGGAGGAAGTTCTGGAAATCTAATCCACGCTATGACAATTGGAGTTTCTTCATCAGGTGTCCACCATGGATTCCATTTTGTACAACGCATCTGCCACATGTCTGATTGAGCCTTTAAATAAAAAGCTGGCTTTGAGAGAAGATGAGCATAATCCTCCAATAAAGACAGCCTAATTAACACATGATTGTCTTCAATCAAGCTAACTGAATAATGACCCTTAATCTCACATTGAATTGGAATCACTTTACATAATTCACCAATAACAGGCTTCCTATATGAAAATTTCCCAAGAACTGCAAGTTGAAGTCCTTGTTGTATGATGGATTGCTTCACTTCTTGTTTCTTCCACTTCACAACTGGTTCTCCATAAAGGAACTCAACTGGTTTCAATGGTAGCGTAGCTAGGGTTTGCATGGACGTATTTATGACAATTGGGGTTTAATAAATTTGCATAAGTTTTAGGTGGATTAGGGTTTGTATTAGGGTTTGTAGAGGTTGGTAACGACTGAGGGGGGAGGAAGACGACGGACAAACCTCAGGAGGAAGCTGGCCGCCGGTCGTAGAGGCCATGAAAGGCAGTCGCCGGCTTGCACTGTTGATCGCAGGAGAGAGGAGAGAGAAGAGAGCTGTATGCGATTAGTGTTGAATTATGGTATTATCAATATTTTTGGTGTATTATACATTGGTATTATATGGGTAAAATTTACCCTCCTTACATGACGTTCCCGGTCCCACGTGGCAAGTAAGATCTAGATATCGAGATAAGGAATTAGACCTGATGTCGTGTTCGACAGCTCCTCTTGTTATGGGATGATGGTCATC